CCAGTGATCTGGAAAGTACCGGTGTCTCAGTATGGCGTTGACGATGTTGGTAATTGCCATTATCGCTTTCCTCGGGAGTCTCTTCAGGACTCTGTTCCCAATATCGTCTACACCCGGTGCCTTCTTCACCTTGAGTCTTTCGATGATTTCCCTTACCTCGCCTGGAGAGGGCATGTCTTCGATGGCTCTTCCTCCTCTGACAGCTCTCCTCGATCTTCTCATCACCTCGTCGATGAAGTCTTCGTCTTCATCGGGTGAGGTGAGTATGAGAGTACACTGTCTCTGACGGTGTCAGCAAAGCTTCCGCCTTCTCTTCGGTTGTGTACAACATCCCCTGTTCGCTGTGTATTGGGGGGATGGGCTGTCTTTATTTCGAGGATTTTAGCCAGTTCCAACATTCCTGGGTCAGCTGGACGATAGTTCGCTGCAGTTTCTATCCCAGGTGCTCTGATGTGCTGCTTCATTCAGGCGTCTCGTGCCTGTCTCATAAGTCTGTTTGCCCCATGATGTCAGTGGGGCTTCTGGTCTCCTGGGCTACTCTTCGGGCTCTGTTTCTTTCGGTGATCTTGCGATTTACCTCGTCAGGTAGGTCCCTGAACCTGTTTGGTTGCGTTATGTCTTCCACGGTGGTTGCGGCTTCTAACGCAGCCTTAATCTTCCTTTCTAGGTCCGTGACCGCTTCTTCTATGCTTTCGGGGCTTTCGATCTGTAGTAGTGGTCCTTGTGAATAGTGCAGTCTGGTTCTAAACCGCTGCCAATTCACTCTCTTCACTGTTCTTTGTTCCACAGGTGTTATCCCATCTCCCTACAGAGAAAGATGGGGTTGTGGTCTGAGCTTCCCTCTTGCATGGCGCCGATGGTGGTGCGCATGTCGATTTCCTTCAGAATCGCCATATCTATGACGTCTGGTCTACCTCCGTTGCTGGGGTATATTGTAGGTTCGTCCGACCTATCATGGTATATCCAGGTTCATCCATTAGTCTTTCCAGAACAGCGCCGTGACTGTTTCTGTTTCTTGAGCCCCAAATGGTGGACTTCGCGTTTAGATCACCTACGATCACGGTACTGTTTCCCAGTGCAGTGATACAGGTGACATCTTCCAGATATTACGGACTTCTTCTAGACATATATATATAGATATATATATTATATATATATATATATAGAGAGGAGAGGAGAGAGAGAGAGAGAGAGAGAGAGAGAGAGAGATAGATGAAAAGATTAAAATAACGACCACAGCTAATTATCATTTTTGCATTTTAGCATAACATAGTGGTTCTGAAAAGAACCGTTTTTTTTTTGTTCTTATTTTTCGAACCGTATAACCGTCGAAGCGAATACAACGTCTATATTATTTTGAACTGGTGTACTTGGTGACGGCTTGGTACCTTCGCTGACTGCGTGCTTGGCCAATTCTCCCGGTAGCAATAGTCGTACGGCTGTCTGAATTTCTCTGCTAGTTATCGTGGCACGTTTGTTGTAATGTGCCAATCTGGAAGCTTCCGCAGCGATACGTTCGAAAATATCGTTGACGAAGCTGTTCATGATGCTCATCGCTTTGCTGGATATACCCGTATCGGGATGTACCTGCTTCAGTACTTTGTAGATGTAAATTGCGTAACTTTCCTTCCTCCTGCGCTTCTTTTTCTTGTCAGATTTGAGATATTCTTCTGCGCCTTGCCCGCTTTTTGGCAGCCTTACCGCTAGTTTTGGGTGGCATTTTATTGTGAGATGATGCTGAGTATAATCGACACCAACGCTCGACTAACGGAACGACTGCAATTCTCTGGCCGTATTTAAGACAGGTGACGTTACGACCGTAGACTCCGCCCCCAGCGTTTTGCCGGCAAACGTTCGCGTCGATTGGTCGGTTAGTTCATATAAATACAACGTTCGCGGAGATCATGTTGTGCATTTGCAAGTTCATAGTCGACGTCGTTCGTTTAGCAGATTAACAAATTGAATATGTCAGGACGCGGAAAAGGCGGTAAAGTTAAGGGAAAGGCAAAGTCCCGATCCAGCAGGGCCGGCCTACAATTTCCCGTCGGTCGTATCCACAGGTTATTGCGAAAAGGGAATTATGCTGAACGCGTCGGTGCCGGAGCTCCCGTATATCTAGCGGCCGTTATGGAATACTTGGCCGCTGAAGTTTTGGAATTGGCAGGCAACGCTGCTCGCGACAATAAAAAGACCCGTATTATTCCACGTCATCTGCAATTGGCCATCAGAAACGACGAAGAATTGAACAAATTGCTTTCAGGCGTCACAATTGCCCAAGGAGGAGTTCTCCCTAATATCCAAGCTGTTCTTTTGCCCGAAAAAGACGGAGAAGAAAGCCTAAAAAAAAAAATCTTCTGAACATACAATCGGCCCTTCTCAGGGCCAACAAGTAATTTAATAAGAAAATGAAGGGATTATCATTTGTATATGGAAAAATTTCTCAGGGTGATATCGGATCGGTTTGTGGCGCGAGAAGTTGGCAATAACTAAATTATTTAATCGAGGCATCTCATCGTCGCATTCACGTCTAATATTCGCCGGTATCTCGATAATGGGACATATCGGGACCGAAATCGTCGATTATTGTAATTCAACAGAGCAAAAGCTTATAAGTCGATCAATTTCTCATATTCCGATAAACTCATTTATGTGAGTGTTTCTTTTTATTTTGTATAAAAAAAATAGAAAATTAATGTGGCGGTTCAATCGGCAGATCCATTCTTTCTCACGAGAGTATATGGTGGTTCTGAAAAGAACCGTTTTTTTTTTCTTTGTATTGTATTTTCGTTTCAACCTGTACCGTGGTAATTGCTGCGGAGTGTTTAACCACCGAATCCGTACAAAGTGGCGTCCTTGTCTCTTTAATGCATATACGACGTCCATTGCAGTGACCTGTCTTCCTTTTAGCGTGCTCGGTGTAAGTGACTGCATCCCTGATTACGTTCTCTAAAAAGACTTTGAGCACTCCTCGAGTTTCTTCTTCGTAAATCAATCCGGATATACGTTTTACTCCTCCACGGTCGCGCCAATCTTCTTATGGCCGGTTTCGTAATTCCCTGGATGTTATCCCTCAAAACTTTACGATGCCTTTCGCTCCTCCTTTTCCCAATCCTTTACCACCTTTACCGCGTCCAGTCATTTTTCAAGATTCTCTCCGCACGTCGAACTGTTAAAGCGAACGGGCTGTTGCCAACTGACGGTACGTCTCTCGTGACGCCCGGTTTTGTTAGCGTTGTCGTCCCTCCTATTGGTCTATCATTGGCCAATCAGACTGTTCGTATTTCGAGCCCATATAATATAACTGTTCGCGGTGTTTACCTCCGCTCACTATAATATTGTCCGTTGCAATATTCACGTCGCTGCTATATAGATATTTATATTCAGTTATCTGAAAATTTAACGTAATGGCGCGTACCAAGCAGACGGCTCGTAAATCCACCGGAGGTAAAGCTCCCAGGAAGCAATTAGCCACGAAGGCTGCCCGTAAAAGTGCTCCTGCTACTGGCGGAGTTAAGAAACCTCACCGTTATCGTCCGGGAACTGTGGCTCTCAGAGAAATTCGTCGTTATCAGAAAAGTACCGAATTGTTGATCAGAAAATTGCCTTTCCAACGGCTGGTCCGTGAAATAGCGCAAGATTTCAAGACCGATTTGCGATTCCAAAGTTCTGCTGTAATGGCACTCCAAGAAGCTAGCGAAGCGTACCTGGTCGGACTATTCGAGGATACGAACTTGTGCGCGATCCACGCTAAGCGAGTAACGATCATGCCGAAAGATATACAGCTGGCAAGACGTATTAGGGGCGAACGTGCCTAATGGAATTGACGGATTTACTATTTGCCGGAAAGAGAGAGAGAGAGAGAGAGAGAGAGTACGGCGTGCGATAATAGGTTATAAAAAAAAAAAACGGTTCTTTTCAGAACCATCATATAGTATGTTCAGAAAAAGGGGATCGTGTATTATGTTAAGTATATCAGATTGTTGTTTGTACGCGTGCAATTTCGACACTATTATCGTGTATGCAAAATAGCGCTAAATGGTTATACGATAGTCGCTAGTTATTACCCGTTATCCTATATCGAAGGATTGTGGTGCTTTGTAGTAAACCGTTACATTGATATTATTCTAATAACGTACGAATTGTATGTATGTGTATGGAAGTAAAATAACTTATAAGTAGCATGTGATTATAATGTAGATAATTCGACATAATATAGATATTTTGCCGTATATATTGCTTAGGCGTTTAGGCAGGCTGTTAGCGTGTAATACGTAACATTAGGTACTTTCACGTAGATCAAAAGTCAGTAATGCGTACGTCTAATAATTAATATGTAGTAAGAGATGAATTTATAACTCGATCGCTCGTATATTATATATAATATTTTTCTACTCTGGCTTATTTATTACGAATAATAGATTGATGTCTCATATTATTATCTATTTTGTCATATTACAGGAGTAATGTTAAAATTATCGCGATATATTTCGCGACTGTGCACGTTCGGATGTACGCCAGACATACCTCCGTATAATTGCGATTATCTAAAATACCTTATCCATTAGCCGTATACCGACAGTATAATTGTATTACGAATAGTCGTAGATTGTTAATTTCATGAAATATCTAATTATATAACGTATTCGTATAATATAAATTAGATCAAAAAGCCGGACGATTAGGTCCAAAGCGGATACCTTGCACGTTTCACCTTATAATTTTATCGTGTACGTAGCGTACGTGATCAAGTCGCGAAGTTAAATGTGTATTTCAAATTATGCAGATTTCATATTCGTTCAGGTTTTAGCTGTTGCTCGTATGCAATTATATCAGCGACTCAAAAAACCAACAGATACGACCGCAGGCTTGGCAGAATTGAAGCCGTCGAAATCGGTTTCGCTGCAAAGTCGGAGCGTTCAATGTTCGGTCCGACCGAAATGACTTGGGTCACGACGCTGAATTTACCTCTCACATTCATTCGACATTCGTTCTCTTAGCGAGATCGTCGATCAGTGATTGCAAAAGATCGCGCGTATACAATAATCTGTCTCCTCTTCACGACTCGTAAACATGGCAGATACGGAAAACCAGAATTACGCCGCGTCGGCTACGGCTACCGCGAATTCTGCGTCGCCGACGTCGCAGTCGTCTGCGAAAAAGGAGAAAAAACCGAAGAATCCGAGGGCGAAGCCGTCTCATCCTCCTACTAGCGAAATGGTCATCAACGCAATTAAAGGATTAAAAGAGCGTGGCGGGTCGTCTCTGCAAGCTATCAAGAAATACATAGCCGCTAATTACAAAGTAGACGCTGAGAAAGTTGCGCCTTTCATCAAGAGGTACTTAAAATCGTCCGTCGCGTCTGGAGCTTTAGTACAGACGAAAGGCAAAGGAGCTTCCGGATCGTTCAAGCTAGCTTCGTCATCGGCTGGCGGAGCGTCGAAAACTTCATCATCGTCAGCCGCAAAGGTTGGCGAAAAGAAGAAGAAATCCGCGACCGGCTCAAAGAAGAGCGGAACCGTAGCTAAGAGAGCTAGCGGTGCGAAATCTGCGAAGAAGGCATCTCCGAAGGCTAAGAAACCGGCGGTGGCCGGTGGTGCGGCCGAGAAGAAAGCTTCTCCAGCTAAGACAAAGAAAAGTGGGAAATCGGCGACGTCGGCTAAAGCTTCTTCTGCTGCACCTTCTGCAGCGGCTGCAAAAAAATCTCCTTCGAAGGCGAAGAAATCCAGCAAGGGAGCTCCGACCAAGAAGCCAAAAGCACCAAAACCGAAAACGGCGAAGGCTGCAACATCGCCAAAAAGGAAGGCCGCTTCACCCAAAAAGAAGAAATAAAAAAAAAAATTTAGACGTGTTGCAACGTCGTAGATTACGGCTACGTCGGTTCGAGACGTTATATTTATGCGAGAGGATGCTATACGTCCCCGCGGATTGAAAATGGCCCTTTTCAGGGCCACCACTATTACTATAAAAAGGATACAGAATATTTACGAATTAGCAATTTTGTATCGAAATATACATGTACAACTGCGGCTCGTACGTGCGTTGATGTTTTTTTTTTTTTTTTTTTTTATTAAATTCGAGTATTATTCGTTTACGATTAGGTATTTATAAGCAAGTGGTAATGTTAGGCGTCGTCACCATCGATATTTGCTTTTAAGGGTATAAATAAGTATGTATTGTGTTTAATTAAACGAATGAACGTTAAACAGTCGATTGCGTCGTAAGGATATCCCCTTTTTTTACGCTTTCGTTTACCATTAAATAATCCGGTCGGGTCTTATATCAGACGTTATTGCTTTAGTGGTGTATGTATATCACGAATAATCATCTGGTATTCAAGTACCAATAATATATATGTTGCGCGTACGGTGATATCATTATCTTTACTTGATAACTTTAGTGGTTCTGAAAAGAACCGTTTTTATGTTGTAAGTTGTTGTTGATGTTGTTGTTGTCGTCGTAGTTACATATTACTTCGAACTGGTGTACTTGGTTACGGCTTTGGTACCTTCGCTGACGGCGTGCTTGGCCAATTCTCCTGGTAGCAATAGTCGAACGGCTGTTTGAATTTCTCTGCTAGTTATCGTGGCACGTTTGTTGTAATGTGCCAATCGGGATGCTTCCGCTGCGATACGTTCGAAAATATCGTTGACGAAGCTGTTCATGATGCTCATCGCTTTGCTGGAAATACCGGTATCTGGATGTACCTGCTTCAGCACTTTGTAGATGTAAATTGCGTAGCTTTCCTTCCTCCTGCGTTTCTTTTTCTTATCAGACTTGGAAATATTTTTTTGAGCCTTACCGGCCTTTTTAGCTGCTTTACCGCTAGTTTTGGGTGGCATCGCGTTTCGATTTACACAAAAAGTACGATCTTTACTGACACAATATCGTGATCTATAATGGAAAGGTGTGCGGATAAACGGCGAGCTTTAACAGCCACGACGTTACCGACATAGACTCCGCCCCTTACGGGTGACCGACAAACGAAAACGGTGATTGGTCGGAGTAGTTATATAAATATACTCGTACCTAAAGACATTGCCATTGATAACCTTTAGGAGGGGCTTAGGTCAAAAGCCCCCAGCGCAGGACCCCCAAGAAAAGTGGCCGTCCATAAAGTCGAGAACCGACAGTTGGAAGAAACGTCCACCACGCGCTTCCGCGACGCGTGCGCGATCGAGTCAAATTTCGGGAAAAAGGGGCAAAATTGGGGAAGGGGGATAGCTCGTTCGGCAGCACACACTCGGGGAATGCGCAAGCGGCCTGAACCACGCAGCGCCACTCCAGGCCTTTGGGCGGGAGTGGGGGGAGGAGCAGATTGCTCTTCCCCCCACTCCTCAAGGGTTTGAGGTTGCCTGGAACAGGGGTGGTGGAGGGACCGCACAGGGTAGGAGGGTGTGTGTGTGTGTGTGACATTGCCATTCTATTCTATTAATTCGGTCAACGACAGCAGATTGTAGTCGTCGATTCGCAAGTCAAAAAAGAAAATAATAAACAAATAAACATGTCCGGACGAGGAAAAGGCGGAAAAGTGAAAGGAAAGGCAAAATCCAGGTCTAGTAGGGCCGGTTTGCAATTCCCTGTAGGTCGTATACACAGATTATTGCGTAAAGGAAACTATGCCGAACGCGTCGGTGCCGGAGCTCCTGTGTACCTTGCCGCCGTTATGGAGTACTTGGCAGCCGAAGTGTTAGAGTTGGCCGGCAACGCTGCTCGCGACAATAAAAAAACCAGGATCATTCCACGTCATCTGCAGTTAGCAATCAGGAATGATGAAGAATTAAACAAGTTACTTTCCGGCGTAACTATCGCCCAAGGCGGAGTTCTTCCGAATATTCAGGCTGTCCTATTGCCGAAAAAGACAGAGAAGAAAGCCTAAATAATAATAATAATAAGAAAATAACGTCAAAACTAGAAATCGGCCCTTCTCAGGGCCACACAATTCGTTTGTTGAAGAAAAAATAGAGATCATCGGATCAGGAAACAAAAAAAAAAATCACGTAATATTTTGCCGATATTCCTTCATGCTGTTTGGGATTCAAGTAACAACAGCCCAATAACCGCATGATACAGTGTGATGTTACGTTTCTACGATACGGATCGTGACATGGAAAATGCAACAAATAATACCAATTCTTACTTACCGTAACATTTTATGTTTACCTAGCATCGATGGGTTGTGGAGCTCGACTATATGGAGATACCTTGGAGGGATAGTTACTTTCTAGAGGTACTGTCGGAATGATAGAACTTTATTCCAACGCAATTTTACATACAATGCCGCTAGTGTCTATAACGACAATCACGTTAACTCTCCCTCTCCCCCCCCCCCCTCTCTCTCTGTCTCACACATTGCTCTTCCCCCCACTCCTCAAGGGTATGAGGTTGCCTGGAACAGGGGTGGTGGAGGGACCGCACAGGGTAGGAGGGTGTGTGGTGTGTGTGCGCGCAACATCAGTTCCGAGCTAGCAGCCGTTGCGAGTGTATACTTGCACGACTGCGACACACCCGGACATATTGAGCAATCTTATTGCGATAGATTGGTTGTTTGTCATTTACGATGGCGAAAATTGAGAAGCTGGCTAACCAGCTGAAAGAGAAGAAAGATGCTGTCGCCATGCTGGCAGAGCAGATGCGAAACCTGCAAGAAGCCTTCTTGCAAGCACAACAGGAGATCGAGGACCTGAACGGGAAGCTCCGCAGGGCCACGAAGAAGGCCGCAAAGAAGACCGAAGAAGGCGAGGCAGAGGACCACCAGGCTACGTCGGACGAGATGGACGCTCAAGAAGAGGACACCCAACGGACCGAAGAGGATAGGACCACGACAGAGACAGCAAGCAACGACGACACCGATTTCAGTGTCGCCACCAGACGGAAAAAAAAAAGCGGGTGCGAATTTCCTCCTCCGAAGACGAGACGCCAAGGCAGCCAAAGATGCCAGCTGCCGCCACCAAGAACGAGTCCTAGAGCAGCCAGGACCGCCGATGCAAACATGTGCCAACTGATCCAGAGCTATCTAACACAAAGACGGTTCGCGGTGAGGATTGGTACATGCCATTCAACACGACGACAGCTGGTAGCAGGCGTGCTCCAGGAGTCAGCCTCAGTCCCCCCTGCTCTACAACATCTATACTCATGACGTACCGAAGACAGCTCACACAATGCTGGCCCTATATGCAGATGACATTGCTATCGCCGCTAAGCATCGACGACCCGAGATTATCCGTAGCAGACTACAGGATGAACTGGACTGTTGCGTGAAATGGAAAATCCGTATCAACGTCCAGAAGACGCAGGCAATCTTCATCCAACGAAGAAGGATTGCAAGCCCTCTCGAAGCATCCATCATCGACGAAGATATCCAGTGGAGCGACAAGGTCAAATATCTGGGGATCGTATTTGACAAGTCCCTCACCTGGAAAGACCACACATAGAAGCTGTCATCGCAAAGACCAGAGCAGCCATGGCTCAACTCTACCCAATACTGGGTAGACACAGCCGGATGCCGCTAGCGACCAAGCTACGGCTGATCAAGGCCATCGCCAGACCTCAGCTCGCTTACGCCTCCGCGGTCTGGGGGTACGCTGCTCTAGAGATGAAGCTACTCCGGATCGCCACCAACCGATCCATCCTACGTAAGAAACTCAACCTTGCGTAGAGACCTGCATTGGGACACCATTCACGAGTACATGAGGAAAAAAGCGGAGAAGACCTTCCAGAAAGCTCAGGACCACCCTAACGAGCAGCTACGATTCCTCATGAACTACGATCCGGACGAGAGGCATCGCAACCGCAGAACCAGGTACCCTAGACCAAGGTCCCAGTTGGCACCCGCTAGTTGGAACCTTGACTAGGAGACTAGGAGAACCCGCGGTTGCTGCAACATCAAAAGTATCTGAAAACCGTCCTGTAGCCGCGACATCCCCGACTGGTACTAGAACAACCCGACGACAGAACTGGGTGGTCGGGGTCAGTGTGTCAGGTCGGTATGCAACCTGCAACCGACGGTCACGGTCACGCGCGTAGAGGTAAACGAACCGGTATAATCGATTGCGTTTCAATAAAAAACAACGAGCACTAGAGACGTGGCTAGAGAAGTGCAAGTATCAAAAACTAAAGTGTGGCAAGCGCTGCGTGAAGAGGGGCTGTATCCGTTTCACGTCTAACGTGTACAAGCCCTTCAACCTGACGATTTTCCAGCAAGAGTGCGGTTTTGTGAGTAGTTGTTGCATCAACATGACAATAATCCGGACTCTTTGAAGTGCATATTCGTGTGACAGACGAATCTATGTTCACGCGTCGGGCACATTTTCAACAAACATTTTCGGTGAATGATAGGGCTGGCATGGTGAACGGTATGCTCATTGGACAATTTATTCTCCCAAATCGATTGGACGGGATGCAATACCTAGACTATTTACGCAACATTTTACCTTCCTTGTTAGCCTACGTCTGCTCGGTAGCGCATCAGCTGATTTCATTTTCTGTTGGAGCGGTATGATTTCTGGCAGAGACGTACTTAGCCCTTCTGGTCAACTGGAGAGAGAGTAATTTCACCAATATTTTTTTATTTACTCGGTCGTTGTCGTTTCACTACACATTACCTTTGTTATTTCAAGGGTAGTTGTTTCTGAAAAGGAAAACCCCAACTTCGCGGACATCCCGTATATGCCGCATCCGCGTCGCTCACCGAGGCGCGCTCTATCGCGTCACACCCGTTATTAAGAGAGGCACATCTACTCCCGTCGTTTACCCGCGCCCAGTGCAGCGAACCGAGTCGTGGCGTATCAAAGAATCAGATATGCGGCACCCGCGCCTCAGCCCGAGGCGTTGTTGTCAACCGCGTTACGGCCCTTATTAAGAGAGGCACATCTACTCCCGTCGTTTACCCGCGCCCAGTGCAGCGAACCGAGTCGTGGCGTATGAAAGAATCAGATATGCGGCACCCGCGCCTCAGCCCGAGGCGTTGTCAACCGCGTTACGGCTCTTTATTAAGAGAGGCACATCTACTCCCGTCGTTTACCCGCGCCCAGTGCAGCGAACCGAGTCGTGGCGTATGAAAGAATCAGATATGCGGCACCCGCGCCTCAGCCCGAGGCGTTGTTGTCAACCGCGTTACGGCCCTTATTAAGAGAGGCACATCTACTCCCGTCGTTTACCCGCGCCCAGTGCAGCGAACCGAGTCGTGGCGTATGAAAGAATCAGATATGCGGCACCCGCGCCTCAGCCCGAGGCGTTGTCAACCGCGTTACGGCTCTTTATTAAGAGAGGCACATCTACTCCCGTCGTTTACCCGCGCCCAGTGCAGCGAACCGAGTCGTGGCGTATGAAAGAATCAGATATGCGGCACCCGCGCCTCAGCCCGAGGCGTTGTCAACCGCGTTACGGCCCTTTATTAAGAGAGGCACATCTACTCCCGTCGTTTACCCGCGCCCAGTGCAGCGAACCGAGTCGTGGCGTATGAAAGAATCAGATATGCGGCACCCGCGCCTCAGCCCGAGGCGTTGTCAACCGCGTTACGGCTCTTTATTAAGAGAGGCACATCTACTCCCGTCGTTTACCCGCGCCCAGTGCAGCGAACCGAGTCGTGGCGTATGAAAGAATCAGATATGCGGCACCCGCGCCTGAGCGCGAGGCGTTGTCAACCGCGTTACGGCCCTTATTAAGAGAGGCACATCTACTCCCGTCGTTTACCCGCGCCCAGTGCAGCGAACCGAGTCGTGGCGTATCAAAGAATCAGATATGCGGCACCCGCGCCTCAGCCCGAGGCGTTGTCAACCGCGTTACGGCCCTTTATTAAGAGAGGCACATCTACTCCCGTCGTTTACCCGCGCTTCATATA